ATTCGGAGCTCTCCCTCAGGAACTGTCGTCCAGCGGGGGAGGTCGAGCCAGCGCTGTCAGCCTACTCAAGGTGGGATGAGACAGTGGAGTGTATGGACTCGAGCCACTTGGTGCACGTCAGATCACGTCCACTGCATGTAGCTAGTGGCAGCATGTTTCTCGTGGTCCTGGTGCTTTCCCTGTCTGTCAGAGCCAAACGAGGCCAGCCCGTCACAGAGCTAGAGGTGTGGGCCGCCGGTAGGTCTACGCAATAGCCTGACGAGGTGTGATGTAACGTCTCTCGCTACGGGGCGTCGTCCGACACGGAGATCTAGTAGCTAGCTGCAAGACCACGCCAGGAGGCTGAGGGACACTGTTCTACTATGCCTGGAGCTATTGTACTGCGGTGCCGGGCCGGCCGACACACACACAGGGACGCTGAATTACGGACGGACAAGGGGACGGGCCGACCTCAACACTCACTCACTGCCAGTGTGTCTCTGACTTTAGAAGTAGACATGGAGCTGTACGCAGACCCAGACGATGACTCTGTCTACGTAAAACATCACCACGACATAGGGTGTCTTCACCTTCCACCTGCCGGACCGCCGCGGTAAAATCGAATGGAGCCGGCCGCTACAATTATGATCACACGTGAACTAATGCGCATGCGCAATACATTAGAATTCAATCTGAAAAGAGCGCGAGAGCAGAATCTGTCGGTCATGGAGTTGCGAGAGCAGCAGGGAGGCAAGGAACACAATCAGCTCCCCAGGAGAAGAACATCAAGTATGTGTGCCGATGTCGGTAGTGAATCTGGAAAATTCGAGAAGCGAGGCCAATGAGTTTCCTATAATACCACTACCAGGCCACGAACACAAACGAGAAAAAGAGCGGGTCCCCAGAGCAGAGCGTGGTGCAGGCAACTCGAGGAAGGGAGAGCTGCAGGTGAGCAGGAAGTGGGGGACAGAACCACCACAGACTTCACCTTTGACAAGTCTATGGACCGACTCAGACAGATGACGTCTATCGTGGCGTGGTCGAGCCCTCATCGAGGAGGTTCTCATGGGATCCAACTGTACTGTGTTTGCGTAAGCTCAAACGTCGCTCTGTGTGTGCCCCATGGATCGAATGACAAAAATATCTTTAGATACGGCAAACTGGCACTGGAAAGAGCTTCACAATGGAGGGAGAAAGGAGTGCTGATGGTCACTATCCTGGGAAGAGGTACACACCACACAATTCAACAACTTATCAGAAGTCAGTGATTTGTATATTATTACAGGACCCACTTGCTGGCGTGATTCCACGGTCATTGCACGAACTCTTTCAGAAATTGAAGCACAGGTCTCTCTCTCTCTCTCTCATGTGTCTTTTCTTCTAATGACTGACTGTCGTGTGTGTGTGTGTGTGTGTGGTGTGTTGTCCAGCATGTGTCGGAGTTCTCCATCCGAGTCTCGTTCCTGGAACTGTACAACGAGGAGCTGTTTGACCTGCTCTCTCAGGTGGACGAGACCGGGACAAAACTCAGGATCTTTGAAGACTCTGCCAGAAGGTATGTTAAGACTCTACCACACTCTTTTAGAGAGTCAGAGGCATTCCCCTGGGTAAACGGCTCGTGACTAAGTTTGCACAAGCGTTGACTAAAGTTGTGTAAGCGTTAATTCTGGGGGGTGAAATATCCATATATGCATATATTGTGTGTGTTGGTGCAGGGCTCGGTGGTGATCCATGGTCTTGATGAGATCCAGGTCCACTCCAAAGACGAGGTGTACTCCATCCTGGAGCTGGGTCGGGCCAGGAGACAGACGGCTGCAACCCTCCTCAACGCCCAGTCCTCCCGCTCCCACTCCGTCTTCTCCGTCACCGTCCACATCAAGGAGAACTCCATCGAGGGAGAGGAACTGCTCAAGACTGGAAAACTCAACCTTGTACGTCACCTTTCTTAAGATCACATTTGTAGCACTGTACAGCAAAACATGGGCTAACATGCATGCGTAAGTGTCTTTTCAACAACATTCTAGCATTTGTGTGACATGTCTTCCCATATTGAATGTGTATCATATGTATGTAGTTAGTAAGATTAAATGTTTCAGATACTCGTAAAAATTTGCAGTTGTGTATATTCTTAACTCGCCAAAAATGTGTTCCATTTTTCTGTCTCCACAGGTGGATCTGGCTGGGAGTGAGAACATCAGTCGGTCGGGAGCAGTGGACAAGAGGGCAAGAGAGGCCGGGCAGATCAACCAGAGCTTGCTGACTCTCGGTCGAGTCATCACTTCCCTCGTGGAGAGAGCTCCCCATGTCCCCTATCGGTCAGTGTACTGGCTACCTGGGTTTAGTCTACGGAGTCTTTAACTTGCACGCTCTTTTGCCAATCCTGACATTCTCAAAAATTAGACTTGCCTTCACCGGTGCATCTTTTTATACACAGACATTTTAAGGGGAGTGACACAATGAGCAGATCAAGTATTTGGCAGTTACTTGTTGCGTGTTAAAAACCTTTGTCAAATGAGGCATTCCCCTGCAATGCTCCCCTTCCCCGTTAAAAACCATTTTGCTCACTGCATGCATGCATGTATGTTGGTGTCCCTGTGTGTCCAGTGAGAGCAAGTTGACGAGGATCCTGCAGGACTCGCTGGGAGGACGGACCAAGACCTCCATCATTGCCACGGTCAGCCCCGCCGTGTGCAACATCGAGGAGACCCTCTCCACGCTGGACTATGCCCACCGGGCCAAGAACATCACCAACAGACCTGAGATCAACCAGAGACTCACCAAGAAAGCACTCATCAAGGTGAGCCTCTCTCTCTCTCTCTCTCTCTCTCTCTCCCTGTGTGCTGTTGTCAGTGTTCATGTGTGTTTAGGAGTACACTGATGAGATTGAGAGGCTCAAGAAGGATTTGCTTGCAACTCGAGACAAGAATGGAATCTACATTTCCCCCGAGAACTATGCGTGAGTTCCTGTATACCCTCTCCATACTAGCAATTGACTTTGGACTGTGGACTGTTGGATGCAGGGGCATGGAGGCTTTAATTCGCACACAGAGAGAGGGCATGACTGAGCTCGAGGCGGCCATTGCTGCAAACAAGGACGAGATCACGAAAGTAAGTCCGTAGAAAGATTTTTTCCAAACGTATACGACCCCAAATCTCCCTCTCCTCTCTCTCTCCCGACTCACACTAGTTGAATGCGTTGTTCATGACGTCAAAGACAGAGCTGGAGGAGACAGCTCGACAGCTGGAGACGACCAGCCAGCGACTGGCCACCACGAAGGTGAGTCTGGAGTCGACGAGACAAGACCTCTACCAGACCAGCATGGAGAGAGAGCAGAAGAGCCTCCTGCTACAAGAACACGTCGCCACAGAACAGACACTTCTTGGACAGGCCGGACAGGTAATGCACACACCACAGACGACCTCCATCAAAGCAGTATTCTTTTACTACAGTGGAACCTCGCTCTAAGAGCACCCTAGAATGTGAGACACCTCTGTAATAAGGAAACCTTTTCTTTCAGGAGACAGTTCTTGCATGAAATTTAACCCCTGAACCAAGGACACCTCACTAAATAACAGACACTTGTGTCTAAGTTTGGATGGTTTTGTCCACTGTGTGTGTGTCAATGTATGTGTAGCTGGTAGAGGTGGTGGAGGGTGCCATTGGAGATGTGGACGGACTCCACTCAAAGCTGGACAGGAAGACTAGAGTCGAGAAAACCAACACTTCCGCAGCCCGGAACTTTCAATCTGTGAGTCCTGCTGTTGTGCAGGAAGAAGAATCGAGGTTTGAAAGTTCTTTTGTTTGTGTCTGCAGACAATTGAGGGAGAGTTTGAGGAGATGCAGCAGAGGCTACAGGAATTCAGCACCACTCAGACCCAGTTCTGCCAGAACATGTCACAGAGAATAGGTGAGCCCACCACACCTTGCAAACTCCCTCTAGAACTAGTGTTACCAAGTGGAGAGGAGCTAGTATATACTAAAGTGTGTGTTTTTATCTCGTGTGCAGAAGAGTGGAGTAGCGAGCAGGAGGGGTGTGTCCAGGGTATCCAGGAGGGGCTGGAGGGAGTGGTGTCTCTGCTCCGCCAGTTCAGCCACCGCCAGACGAGTGGGGGGAGACAGAGGACCAGACACATGCAAGACTCCCTCACACAATCTCAGAGCGACGTCAGGCAGTTTCAGGTACATGAAAACTCTAGCTTCAGGCTTGACGTAAGTCTGTTCTGTCTGTTGTCGCAGGAGAATCTGGTGTCTGCAGCAGACGGTGTTCTAACAGTGACTCTTGCTCCGTTCCTGGCCGGTCTGTGCAGCCAGCTGGCTCTCCAGTCTTCTCTACTAACGCAGTCCACTGCCAGTCTCAGGGAACAGGTCAGCCACCACTGTCCGAGCCTTAGCTCTTGTTTGCATTGCTGCAACTGGCTGAGTCTCTCTCTCTATCTGTCTATCTTCAGTTGCAGTCCCACGGTGACCTGGTCTCTCAGTTCGTCTGTGAGCAGAACAAGAAGATCACAGAACTGAGTGCAGCAGTGCAGCAAGAGAACTCCCATCAGGTAATAAAATAATGTGGACCTCAGTCCTATAGTTAGTTATGTGTGTGAATGGGTCGTGTTTTGCATGAAGTTAGAAGTTTTTTTTACTGTGGTTCACCAGCAAGCACAGATGAGCAACCATCAGGAGTCAATATCAGCTACTGTTGAAAAGCAGAGAGTCCTCTCAGAGGTGAACCAATAGCCTGCAGACTGTACTGTTAGTAGTGTACATGTGAGTATGATACACACGTCCTTGAATCGACGCAGCAACTGAGGCGGTCAGTGATGGCTGAGATGGAGCTGCTACTGGAGAGGACCATGAGGCAGCAGCAGGAGCAACTGGAAGCCAATCTGACACTGGTGGGGCGTGCGAGAGATAGATAGCCTCACACTGTCTGCTCATCTCTGCTGTTCCCTCTACTGTAGGTGAACTTGAGGATGCAGAGAGCAGCCCAGAGTCAGCAAACTCACACCGACTGCCTTCAAAAGTAAGCCCGGCATCTTATAGAAATCATGTCTGTGTGAGTCAGCACTTTTTCACTCCTACCTCACCACGCAGGGAGTTGTCAGGTCTGGCCAATGGGCTGAGTGGTCTGGCAGACAGCACAGAGAACCATACCTCCACGGCATCATCTGCTCTGGACTCCATACTCTCTCAGGTACATATCATGATATTATATGGTGTCTTCTCTCCACAAAATCTAGCTACAGCAGGCTAACTGTGTCCTATGTACCAGCCCTCTCACCACTAGCATGCTAGCTGTACTGTCTCTGTTTCCTTCCCCCCCACACTGCAGCAAGAGGAGACGAAGGGAGAGCAGGAAGGCTCTCTACACAGGACCAGAGAGGCCCTGGAGAGCGAACTTGCCACATTCAAACAGGTAAAGTGAGAGGTTGAGAAAGATTTTCAGGACTCGTAGAGTCTATAGAGAAGAGACTGTATGAGCTGTTACTTTAGAGTGTCACTGCAAGCTGGAGTTCGTATGTGTGCTACCATTTGATGTATCTCAACTCCAGAAAACAAAGAGTCGTACGGACGACCATTGCAGGGATATTGGTGCCACTTCCATGGCTCTGGCTACCCACCAGCAGCAGACTGAGACTGACATGGAGGTTAGACATGCTGCTGAATAGCGGGTCAAAACCTTCCACGTTTGAACTACATAGTACTTACTATGGTAGCTTTTTACCACTGTATGAATGGTACCTAGTGTTCAAATTTCACAGGGAATTTCTTAGGCTTACTCAAATGGGTGTCACACTGAATTATTCTCCGTTATACGGTATTACTGGCATATCTAAATCTTCATGTAGAGTCATGTGTCAAAGGTGGTGGAGTCTGTCTCCAGTCTCCATTCCTCCCTGGTCTCTCTGGCGAGAGACGGTGCGTGCGAGGCAGCCTCCCAGTGGACGGAGGACACCACCACCCTCTCCTCTGCCGTCTTGACGTTTGCCGACTCTCAGAAGACCAGTGTGGCAGCCGCCGCGGAGACCGTCTCACGCTATGTCTCTCAGGAGATGGCTGTCGATGTACCTACAGGTGTATAAAATGCTCACGTACAAAGTGAAAAACCTCTAGCAAATCGTGTCATTTCTTTCAGAGCCTGGTGTAAAAGCTTTCTCAGCCACTTTTGTTAGCGGAGAGCATTTGTACAAGTGAAACATGCAATCTGCGAACGTTTACTCTGCCGGCCCAAATTCTTGTTTGCCACTCAATCGTGAAGTCTTCTCCCTCAAGTTTCCATATGTGGACTGTTGTGTCAACTTCCGCGACTAAGTATTGATTGCTCTGTGCTACTGCTGTAGGTAAGACACCACAGAGGAGGGACTTTGTGTATCCACGTGACCTGGCTCGGACTAGACCTGACTCTGAGCTCCTCAGAGACTTTCACCCCACAGTCTCCCTCCCTCCCCTCCCCGAGAGTGATAGCGAGGAGGAGGAAGAGGTGTGAACAAATCTACTCTTGTGTGGAACTCTGAGATGGGTTGTTTTCACTGTTGTCTGTTGTGTTGTGTTCAGGAGAGTGGTGAGAGTGAGGTTCCTCCATCGTTTGATCTGTCTCAGGAGGACACCAGTGAGGTAGAGAGCCTGGAGACAACCACCACTTCGGTAGGTAACTATTATACCACTTAGCAAGGAAGAAACCAAGTTTTGCGTTGGTTTTGGAGGTCTGTCTCAAACCTTTAACTCTGCGAAATGTTGTCCCCTCTTCAAAATTTACAGCCTCGAGCAATAAACTATAACTCTCTCTCTCCAACTCTTTCTCTGCCAGGTGGACAGCAGTGTGTCGTGCAAGACTGTCATACTGACAGACTCAAAAGAGAACGCAGCGCTCTCCAAGACCACCCCGGCTACAAGCAAGCTCCCGGCCAGGAAGAGGCACGTGGCTGCGGGCTCCAGGAGCACTGGGTCCAAGAAAAGACCACTCACTGTCAAAAACTGATGGACTCATGTGTACACTTTAATTAATGACTTTATTATCCACCACTTTTTTTTTAGTGTTGTGTCATTGTATTATTATGCACACTGTTATTTCAGCTGTTTTAAACTAAGTGAGAGATTGCTCCAGTTTTGAGAGTCTGCTGATGAATGCCTTCTCTTTCTCTTGCAACTTTGAAAACATCTCCGTCTAGAGTGCGGTGGACACTTCTTATGGTCTTTGTAAATAGAATCTCATTGACAGACCTGATAGGTAGAAAGTGTTTCGGTGGTCAAAGAGTCCATGACAGCCTTCAGCTCCTCTGAGGACACTTTCATCGGTGCTTCACCTGAAAAACCAGTCACAGTTAGCATGCTGTGTGTATGGTGTGCATACAGTCAACAGTTTACCTTCCTCCTGAGTCAAGTTAGCCAGGGCAGAAGAAACTTGGTCCACCTATATACACCAGGGGGATTCAATCCACACAAAACCTTGGATGCATTGATCTATTAATGTACTTCAGTCTCCTCTGGCTCTGCTGGCTGTTCCTGCTCCTCTGCTGCTGGCTGAGGGGCCAGACACATCTCATACAGCTGGAGAGGAATGGCCTCATCCAGGGGTGGGGGACAGTGGGTGGAAATTGGAGGTGGCAGCTCAACAGGCAACTGTAGCAAGCAGAGGATTTATGAACCACACGAGAGTGAAGAATTTACTGAGAGTTCAATGAGTTGCTCGGTCTGTTGCTCGTCAAAGAGGAATTGAAAGAGGCGGTAGTGCTGGAAGAGACCAGTTGTTACGCACTCTACGACTAGTCTGGCGGCCTCTGGAGTGAGACACTGCACGGCTGTCCTCTGAGACACGCCCACTCCAGCTAGCAGGTCCCTCAGCTGCTGGATATTGTCCACCAGTGAAAAGTGGTGCTCTGGAGCAGTACATGTATTTATTTGGCATAGAGTTACAGTACTATCGTACCTTTGAGGTTGGTTATGAGGGTGTGTGTGATTCTAATGAGCGTTGTAGTTTGCTCGTCTGTGAACTTATGCTCACGGGCAAACTTGGAAGTAGAGTCAAGAAAAACAACTCTACTATCTTCAGTGTTCAGAGTGTGCAATTACAGTAACTAATAGTGTGAGGTGAGTTCAGAGTGTGCATTTAATAGTGTGAGATGGATATCAGTATGTGGCGACATAGCAGTCGACAAGTGCAGCCTCTGACAGGCTCTCTTCGTACTGGCCCAGGCCCAACACTGCAGCCAGCCTCCCAGCTATCTGGTGAGGATCGTCAATCCCAGCCAGCTGGGCTGTCTCTGTCTTCCCTAACACCTTCCACGACAGCTGCTCCACCACCTCCTCTACTACCTCTCCTCCGTCTGGTTCCTAAAGTACGTTTCCATGACGACGTTCACCACCGATGCGAGAAGCAGCAGCGCTACTCACCACGACCTCGGCCCCTCTCTTCTTGCCCTTTTCCTTGAGGCTGGAGCGCGAGCCAGACGAATTTAGCTTGGTCTTGGAGCTCGAACGCGACATGACGACCAACGACAGTCGTCTCGAGCATGCAAGTACGTGCTGAGCCACACCTCTCTTGATTCCCGTGCGCATGCGTGTGAGCGGCCGCCTATAAATATGGCAAAAAATTTATACTGGGTGTATTATCACAAAACTCGAAATAAAAAACCTAACTTGTTCTAGAGTTGGTCCAGCTGGGTAATAATGGTAGCCATGTCTGGACGTTGCTCCGGCTCGTGCCTAAGACAGCTTCGAATGAGAGCCAGCACTGGAGGCCACCGGATGGAGGCAAGGAGACGATCCCTCACCTCCCTGGGGGCCAGTTCCCCCGCACACATCTCCACAAGGAGGACGCCGAAACTGAACACATCCATTTTGGTCGACTGCTGCTCTGGGTTCCCGGCCTCAGGAGCAGCGTAAGTCGGGTTTCCAGGGCCTACTGTGGTGGTGTGGCGAACAAAGTTGGCAGAGCCATAGTCGGAGAGCTTGGCTTTAAAACCAGAGTTAATAATCGGCTCCAAGAGAACATTGGAGCTGCTCACATCGCGATGGATGATGGCCTCGGGCTGTGTGAGGTGGAGGTAGTTGAGGGCGAGGGCTACCTGGCGGGAAATGCTGGATATCTGGGGGTGGGAGAGCCTAGTGCCTTCTTCCATGACCCGGCGAAGACTGGTGGGCATCAGCTCCGTCAAGATGATGGGCTCCTGGCTGTCGAGAGTGGCTCCAATGAACTGGAGTAGGTTGGGGTGTCGGGCATTGGCAGCCATATTCATTTCCCGAGTGAAGATCCTCACGTTGTGGGCAGACACTATCTGCCGATGGAGGCATTTGGCTGCCACTTGATTCCCCCGAAATGTTCCTATTCTAACTGTTGCCCACCCACCAGCACCAAGCTCTTCCCCAGTCAGCTCGATCTCATTTCTCTGGACGACCCACTGCGGCTGGCTCTGAGGCAGTTGACCTATCAACCTGTGGAACATGTCCTGGAACATCTGATCCGAGTGTTGGAGACGTGTTTCAGCCATAGCGGCTATTTGTTCCTGCTGATCGGCCCTCTCATTGGCTTCCTGGAGCCGTGTTTCTGCGACGTCAGCTCTTTGTTGTTGCTGCTCAGCCCTCTCGTTGGCTTGCTGGAGATGCTGTTCAGTGTCTTGTAGTTGTTGGCGCGAAGCTTGAAGTTGGTGTGTGGTGCTTTGGTGTTGTTGCTGGACATTTGTTAACTGAGTTTCAAGTGTTTCAGTTCTCTCATGAGCTTCATCTCTCGCAGTTTGGAGGGACTGGGTAAGCTGTTCGGCCTGAGTTTGCAATTGTGCCACCCTTTGCTCTGCCATTACAGCTCCCTCCCTCTTTTCTTCCTGGTCCTCAGCATCTATCCAGCTCTTTGATTTGCAACGTCTTTCTTCTAATGTTTTGTTTAAGGTCTTAAGTTGCCCTTCCTTCTGAGCTAGTCGGTTCAAGGCATCTTGTGCTCGCTGACTGGCCTGATTCGCTCTCTTATGCTCAGTAGCCACACTCTGCACCAGCTCGTCATGTTGGCTTTTCTGCTGTGATTTGAGCCAGTCATCCTCTTCTGGTGATATTTCATCCCCTGTCGCTTCTTTAACGGGCAGTTTATCACCAGTGTTTGTTTTCATATGCATGGGTCTTGCCACTGGATTTGTTTCAGCAACTTTCCCATCCTTCTTTGCTTTAGCTGAAGTTTTTTGCTTGCTGTTGGAGCCCTCTTCTTTTCTTGGAGCTTTCACCTGCTTTGTAGTGCTCTCCATGCTTTGGGAGGCACTTTCATATCCTGCCCTCTGCGTGGCTCTAGGCCATGTCCCATCACTGTCTTGAACCTCAAGAACAATGGTCTACAAATAGTGTTAAAAATATCAGATCACTTGTTTCTTACTAGTTTCATAGCCAAATTACGTACCTGCATATTGTACAAACCAGCATCTTGCAAGGTTTGAAAGGGATCTGATTGTAGGAGCTCATAAGTACGTGACATGAATCGGTACCACACTCTGCATGATGTCTTGCCAGAGATGGAGTACATCCTTCGCATTACAGCCTCCAAATCACCTGAATTAGAGACATAGAGACACAACGTAGAGACACCTTAGGGCACATTTGATTCTAGAGCATACCAACAGTGTCAGCCCTGCTGAATGGTTCAGTAGTTGTCTCAGACAGCTTTGGATGTAATGTCAGTTTGAAATTAAGAAGATACACTTCCACCTTGCAGTGCTTCATATAGATCCCAAACTCCACTACTCTCCTGGCTATTGGTCTGGAGCCATCTGACAACCCATACCAGCTCACTAGGTGATGCCATGCCGTTTCTGGAACCAGTGAATAGTCAAGTTCCTCCATTAGGTGCTCCTTTAATCCAGAACCTGTAAATTTGCATAGTATTTCCACGTACTGCATGCCATCATAATAGTAATAGCCAACCCCCTCTCCCTGGGCCTGCAGCACCAATAGTAACTGCCCACTCACACCTACTGTATTTAGACGTCTGCAGATTCAATCAGATGGCGCAAAACGTGGATTATAAATCCTGTATTTTCCACGTGTGTATTTCCACAGAGACACCCGCCAAAAATGGTGTCTTCGATGGGGGCGTGACAAGCTTCCGCTCAGAGAAACTCGCTCTGTGTGCATCCCCTCCAGTTGAAATGCATGATCTCCAGTTGGGATTGCACCCCCTCCTCCAGTTCCATTTGAACACACCCCTACTTTCAAATGCGTCAGTAATCACCTCCCATAGCCGCCCATAGTTGCTGAGGGTCTAAGCTTTGGCGTGCAAGGTACAAGGTATATACATGTATGTATGTACCTGCATACAAGTTCTCGGTCTCTATAGGTCCGGGAAAATACGATGCTTCCCCTACGTAAGACTGGTCCCATGTTTCGTAGCCGCAATACTTCTTCCATCGTTTCATCCAGCGCACATCTATTAGATACCTAAAGAGAGCTCTCACTACATAGGCCTACACAGCCGCATAACTGTACTCACCAGGTATCTCCTTTGGCCAGCTTCTGGCTAAGGAGTGGACGAATTTCTTCTCTCTGACTTCTCAGAGAAGGAAGTAAACTTCCGGGTAGTGCCATCTTTTGTGATCACACCCACTTTAATTAATGCGCTACAATTAGAAGGGCGGTGGTGACGACTTGACTGAGCGGCCAGCATGGGCTTGGAGGCTACAGTCGTGTGGTATGAATACTCTGTCACTCTAGTACTGCTTATTACACTTCTAATAATGATAGTGTGGACAACAGCGAATGGATGAGGAACGGAGACTTCGTCCCGACGCGGATGCAGGCCCAGCAGGACGCGGTGAACGTGGTGTGTAGGATGAAGACCAGACAGAACGCGGAGAACACCGTGGGACTCCTCTCACTATCAGAGTGAGCCTCACACACTAGACCGCCTAGTATTAGAAACCTGCCCTCACCCTCCATGTGATACAATTGTACTACCTACTTATACACTATGTAGTATGTAGTATCTACATAATTATGTTACCGTGTCCGTCCCACAGTGCTCAGGTTCACGTGACGCTCACCTCAGACCAGAACAAGATATTCAAGGCCCTCCAACCCCTGGAGCCAAAGGGTTCCGTCAACTTTGTTACTTCTCTCAGGATTGCCCACGTCAGTATTATACAAACCACTGTACACCTCGGGACGCACATGTGCATGCATTGTCTTGTTCTACATAATATGTGTGTGTATTGATCAGTTGGCTCTGAAGCACCGACAGAACAAGAACCAGAAGATGAAGGTTGTGGCATTCATCGGCAGTCCTCTAACTGTCTCTGATAAAGAGGTGAGCTAATACTACCTGAGTACACACAGTATCACGTCGCCCTGATGTTCTGTGCTGTGAAAATAGTCTCCCGACATGGCATGTACACAGCATTCTGCACACCTTTCTGAAATACTGTGAACCTAGCCTAACGTACATTCTCTGTGACTCACAGCTGACCAAGCTGGCAAAGAGGTTGAAGAAAGAGAAGGTCACGATTGATATTGTCAGTTTTGGAGAGACGGTGAGTGTGTATCTTCCCCCCCACCCTACCTCTGTACCAACTTCTTCTCCCTGTAGGAGAAAAATGCTGAGAAACTGAAAAAGTTTATTGAAACTCTGAATGGCAAAGACAGGACGAGGTACATGTGTACAAAGGCTAAATTTCTCTTACCTATTCTCTACTGCGTGACTCTCTGCAGTCACCTGGTGACAGCTCACCCGGGCCCTCTGCTATCAGACATTCTCCTCTCGTCTCCAATCTTCACTGACGAGGAGGGGGCTCCCCTCGTTCCCCTGGGACAGGGGTTCGAATTTGGCATCGACCCCACAGAAGACCCTGAGCTAGCAATGGTGATAATGTCTGCACACTACACTATCCTGACCTGGCATGAAATTTGTGTGTGCCTTTACCAAAGAATGTGTAATTCAGTGATGTGCTAGTCTGCTCGCATATGTAAAATGACTGCAGTCAGAAGGACATGGCTGCCCAATGCATGCAACCGTTGTTCATGTGTGCAGGCACTGCGTGTGTCAATGGAGGAGCAGAGACAGAGGCAAGAGGAGGAGGTCAGGAGGGCCACGCAGCAGTCTAACGAACAGGGTCCTCCCCCCACCATCACCGAGGACAGTGGTACATACATACACCACTGTGTGTGTGAGATTCTCCGAGTAAATGTTACGATGAGTGATGAATTCACATCAAAAATCACAATGAAAGTCAGCACCTTGTGTGTTATTCTCTTTCACCATTATGTGGTTTGGTTGAGGACTGTTCTCGCTCCTCTTGTGATTCTGTCCACAGGTGTGGTGGTGAGTCAGGAGGGTGGAGGGATACTGGCACAGGCTCAAACTGCTGAACTGCCGTATAATCCAGTCAGTCACTACAACACTACTCTTCCCTCTGTTAACTTTCATTTGTCCTCACTACAGGCTTTTGCAGGGATGGCAACCTCAGTAAGCCATTCACTCTACTCTCCATTATTTTAAAAACTCGACCAGATGACACTGATGTGTTGTTGCATGCAATATTCTCTCCAGGCCATTTGCACTCCACAGTTCCTTCTTCACAGGAGGCTTATGACTGCTTTTTGGGCCCTTGCCTATATATTATAGTACCTGTGCTGTGGCAACGATAGTGCTGATGTGTGTGTGTGTGTGTGTGTGTGTGCGTGCACGGTGCTCAGGAGTTGACAGAGGAGCAAGAGTTGGCGCTGGCTCTCCAGATGTCCCTGCAGGGAGCCGGCATGAGTGGCCTACTGGAGCAGGCCATGGAGACCGAGACCACACCCACTGTGGCTACCGACGGGGGAGAGGTCTGTCTGGGCATACCCTGTCTCTCTCACACAACCACACCCACTAGGAGTGTGGAAAATAAACTTCTTCTCATTGCTCCCTACAGCCAACTGGAACTACTGAAGTACCCGAGGATTCAGACAGTAAGTATCGGTTGTCATACCACGCCACATCCCACTAAACTCCAGACAGGAAACTCTACAGTTAATGTTTCATATATAGTCATCCACAATAATGTCTCTAGTTGCAGTATGCAATTTTAACACCCTTACCAAATAGTTTTTCTCCCTAGAAAGTGCAGTCCCCACATACGAACCAAGGAAGGAGATATATAGAGAGGCTGTATGCAAAACCTATGCACACTGGCTTCAAGGTTTAAAAGTTTTGCTTGCGGTGTATGCAATTCACTGTTGATGTTTCAAAGCGTGCATTAAACGCTCGAGTTTGAGTTATCCTTGGTGTAGTTGCATTGTTTGCTTTGGCTTTTGGCTTATGACCTCGTTGTTGACATGTACTGTACTGGTCTCTTGTGGTGTGGCTGCAGATGCTATTGGAGCGGAGATGGAGGAGCTGATGCAGAACAAGGCGTTCCTGGAGTCTGTTCTGAGCACTCTGCCCGGGGTGAACCCCGAGCAGGCCCTCAGGAACCTGCGGGAGATGACAGAGGCCTCCACCTCCTCCTCGGCCCAGGCACAGGGCGGGGGAGGAGGAGGAGGGGAGGGAAAGAGGAGGAGGCAATGGAGCTAGAGAAGACTGAGAGCAAGTGAGAGCTCCATTGGGTGACTGGTACTG